GCAGCCCAGCAGGGCTGTGATGCACACCAGGCCCACGCCCTTGGCCACAATGAAGACATTGTCCCCACAGGCCAACTTCACAAGGGGCGGCACATGGCAGAAGAAATGCTGGACCTCATTGGGTCCACAGAAGGTGAGGTTGAAAATGGCCGTGGTCACCACCATCCCCATGATGGCGCCCCCAATCCAGGACCAGGTCACCAGGTAGGCACAGCCCTGGGCACTCATGAGGACGTTGTAGCGCAGCGGGTGGCAGATGGCCACGTAGCGGTCATAGCCCATGACGGTGAGCAGGAAGGAGTGGGTGAAGCCAAATGTGAAGGAGAAGAACATTTGACTGGCACAGGCCATGAGGGCAATGACAGAATGGGTGGACAGCAGGTCGACCAGCATGCGAGGGATGATGGCGAAGGTGTAGAGGATCTCGGAGATGGAGAGGGCACACAGGAAGAGGTACATGGGCGTGTGGAGGCTGCGCTCGCTCCAGATGGTGGCCATGATGAGCAGGTTCCCCAGCAGCGTGAAGAGGTACATCAGCAGGAACAGCAGGAAAAGAACAGGGAGGAGTTGCTGGGGGAAGTGGGAGAAGCCAATGAGGATGAATTCAGTCACCGTGCTGTGATTCTGAACAGACATGGAGGCTGCATCTGGTGAGATCCGAAACAGAATAAAAAGCAGTAGTCAAAATAAAGGCATCGATTGGGGTCCCTGGGTGAGACAAATGGTTAAGGTCTCCGCTACAATCAGAAGGGTTGGTAGTTTGAACCGACCCAGAGGCACCTCAGAAGGAGAATCTAAGAAGAAAGACCTGGTTATCTATTCCCAAAGGGTCACAGCCAATGAAATCCTCATGGGATAGGATTCTGCTCCACAGCACCCCAGGGTCACCATGAATTGGAAGCACTTTGATGGCGACTGATTAAGACCTAGATTAACAACTAGAGAGTGCTGTACTTTTAGATTACTTGCTTAATATTCCGGCTCTCAGTTCCCTTAATTGTAAAATTAAGTAGATAATAATGGCTCCTACAACTACATGTTGAGATAAAATTAGATCAATATATGCATGTTTTGGCTAGAGTTTGGCTACTATTTGCATTTTAGTAATGGCTAAAAAAAATAAACAATGGGTCCCTTTGGAAGAATTATTAGAGACAAGTACACATGACCTGGACCAGGTCTCTTTAATCGTGTGTTTGTTCTAGAAAATACAGATTTGGACCTTGGAGGTTAAGGAAATATATTGAGAGTCTTTGTCTTTTTAATTGATTACTTAGCCTGTTTGCATTTATGGCGGTACAGCTTTCTTGGCCCTCCTCTGTGCCATCTTGTTGCATATTTTTTGTTTATTACTATACAGCTACTGAAACAAGAGGGTGGACCAATGTATACCCAGCAAATATGATCCAAATAATATGAGAACTTAGCCATCGGTCTCAAAAACAGATAAAAGGGAATCTGATGATAATCACAATATCTCTGGCATATGCCACGCAGGACTGGGCCTATCTACTCCCATAAGCAGATACGGTCTTGAAAGTGCTCAGGGGGTGACTATAAGTTGGAAATAACTCAATGGCAGAGAGTTTGGATCGATTTGGGGATGCCTCTCAAAAGAATGAGGATTCCCTCAAGGCATGGCTGGTTCCTAGTGTGGACATAAGAATAAACCTAGGTTATCTAGACCCAGAATGAAAGGAAACTTCCATCAAGGGTCTTGTTGAAAAAGATTCAGAAACTAGATCAAAAAGACTGTACAACTTGATCATCAAAAAGAATAGCCATTAATTGTACAATTATGCTTGATCTAGTGGAATTATGAATTGTTATAAGATCTGTAAGAGCTACCAATAAAATGATTTTTTTAAAGAATAGTCATTGTACAGAGGCTAGAGTTCAACCGTTTGCATCATCAATGCATTTTAAAACAATAATAATTAACCCAGCACATGTGCATATAAATAACATACTGTACTCGTATGTCTGAGAAGGTAACTGCACTTTACGAAACAACAGGCAATGAGAGCAATGACTTTGCCCTGCGTTTTCTCAGCTGCCTCTAATGACTGGCTTCGCAGAAGACAGCTCAAGGCCTGTCTCTGCTTCTGAATGTGTGGTTCCTCTAGCTGACCTGCATGAAGAAAGCATATCTTCCTACAGATGGGATGGACTGATCCTGTAATAGCCTTTCTTCCCCCCATGATGATATCAATGCAACTTCATCCACACGTCCAGTCAAACCAACTGTGAGTTGGATCAAGGAAAGTCCTAAAATTCCTTCAGAAGAGTAAAGTCAGTGAAAAATGAACCTTGTAAAAAGGGCATTAACGGGAGCATTGTCTCCTCCTATGCCCTGAGGTGGGTGCATGGGAGGACCACAATCGTTCTTAATGAATTGGAAGCTGGTATTAAAAACCAACCGAAATTGATTGTAGTTTCAGACAGTGTGCCTGCATGATTTGCATCCCATAAATGAAAAGAAGCGGCCCCACAAACCCAGGAGGGAAGGTGGGCTGCTTACTCGTATGTGGTGGGACCCTGATCACAGGTTATATGGAGTGCGTGCCAGCTGCCTCACATCGTATGCAAAGGCGCGCAGAGGAACTCAAGGCATGGACAAGAAAGACAAGACGCTCACATGCACAGAAGAGAATAGAAGTAGGAGAATCTCTTGGTGGCCCAGGGATGGAGAGGGGCTTCCTAGAGACAATGTCCACAGCAGCAATGGGAAGGTGATTTTGAGAAACAAGTAAAGGGCTTCCACACCCAAAGGAACAGACTTCAGAGTTAGCCAAAGGGGTGGAGGACAAGGGAGGGGGGTAAGGCAGGGTGCTGGGCTGTTGACAGTGTTCACGGGATGAAATAGAAGAGAGGAATCCACAAGAGTGAGAAGAGGGGGGGACCTGTCTTCGAGACCAGATGCCCCCTTCGGTCCTACTCTCAACTCATGGTCCGTGACCCCAACAGGATCCTCACTATCTCTAGTATTAGATTCCCCGCCGCCCCCCCCTTTTCCAGATTCACTGCAACTTGAACTTGGACAAATTTACTCCTGGGATCCTACACAGGGCATGGGTGAGGGGGAGGGGGGCATGCTGATGAACGGTTTAAACTGTTCAGTACAAAGTTGATGATCTGAAATGCAACCCACACACACACACACCTAATTTATAATAAAAGAAGTAAAGGCACATCTTTGATGGATTTTTTTTAAAGACACGGAAACTTCAACATTAAGGAATTCTGTTCAACAAGGAATAGTCTGGATAACATTAGCAGACTGGGGGTAAGACATGGAGACTATGGCCCCAGGCTCCCCTCACCACCCCTTGATCCTTACCCCTTGTTGGCTGCCTGCTGGCTTCTCTACTCTGGCTTCCAGACAGAATTATCCGGAGTTATCAGACAGGGTTCCAACCCCGGCTCCCACTGTGGGTCGTGGGAGAAGGTTCCAGCTCTCAGTGACCATACAATGGGAGTGACCAGTGTCTTCTGAGAGTCTATGACCCCAACGGGATGATCACTATCTCTAGTATTAGATCTCCCCACCCCCACCCTTTTTCCAGATTCACTGGAACTTGAACTTGGACACATTGACTCCTGGGATCCTACACAGAAAACCCCCATCTCCTTTGACCTTAAGATACATAAAATATTTCAGCTGACCCCCAGTTTTTGTTTTATTTTTTCTTTGTGTGTGTTTAAGTAGTTTTATTGGCCTTTGCATATCATAAATGTCGTCATATTAAGAAGAGTTGTGCAGACATCACTGCAATCAGTTCTAGAACATTTTCTTCTGTTACTCATTGCAGTTAGCTCCTCGGTGCCCAACATCCTCTCTTGCCAGGTCCCTAGGTAATTATCAATCCAGCGACTGTCTCTACAGCTCTACCAATCCTAGATTTCAAATACAGAAAATCACGCAGAACACATACAGGAAACAAACAACAACAACAACAATGACTAGACAAAACATAGAGTGCCTTAATGGAAAAGAAAGCAGAAAATACTAAAAATTGAAACAATTTTAAAATAGTTCAAAGGGGAGATCAAATGATAAGGTATTACATTTTTAACCTAACTACATCTGCTATAATCAACTGTACCGTGCTCTCTGTCTGATAGCAAAGCTATGCACAACATCTTTGGACAATGGTCAGACGGGATTCACCGGAGGTTAATTCATGCGTGGTCTCACAAGTGGATGTTGGCTTCCGCTGACACACAGTTTTAATAGACGCCTGTGTTCCAGTGTTCTACACTGATATTCTTTATGCCCTCTGCTTCTTCTGAGAAGCTCACGTTTTAAATGCTACATATATCTAGCTTACCTTTTAAAGAATCCTGTTGGAGCAACAAGTAAGCACTTGACTGCTAACTCAAGAGTCCGTGGTTAGAATGCACCCAGGGGCTCTGCAGGACAAAGATATGACAGCCTCCTTCTGTAAAGGTTGTTGTTGTTGTTGTTGCTGTTAGGTGCCATCAAACCTGCTCTGACCCATAGCGACCCTGTGCACAACAGAACGAAACACTGCCTGGTCCTGCAGCAGCCTCACAGTTGTTCCTCTGCCTGAGCCCACTGTTGCAGCCATGGTGTCCATCCATCTTGTTAAAGGCCTTCCTCTTTTCCGCTGCCCTTCCATTTTACCAAGCATGATGCCCTTCTCCAGGGACTGGTCTCTCCGGCCTGGGAAACTCAATGGGACCGTTCGACCCTGTCCTATAGCATCTCGATGAGATGTGATCATCCCACAGGCATACAACAGCCATCTGCACCATTGCCTGGATGGGCAACATGTTAAAATTCATGACCAGCAGCAACTGCGATGTACAGAAAAATATATTTTCTTAAGTGCTTCGTACGATTCTAATTTTTTCCTGTTTTTCTGAGCCTGCCTTTGCTCACAGGCGTGCCTTTCCCAATGACCGGCTCTCTAAACCAAGTCAAACTCCACTTCTAACGTCGCTCATTTGCTTCTCCACCTTTTCCTTCTCCTTCTGCACTGCCAACCGCTCCGCACAGTTCCCCCAAGAAGTGAACCCAACTTCTTCCTCTCCCCAGACCCCTCTTTCGCCTCCCATCTCCTGATCGGTGGAGTAGCCCAACCTCCTGAGGCTGAGCTGTCTATCTCCTCACAGATAGGCAGACAGAATTCAGCTCAATGTGGTCTCCAGTTAAGCCTTCAGGAGGATGGGTAAAACACAGGTGATGAGCAAACATCACAGAAAGCAGCTAGCCTACATCCCCATAACCTGCCTTTCCCAGAACCACCACTAGTGCTCCACCTCGATCTAACAGGCTGGGTGACAATGAGAGAACTCGCTGGAATGAAGCTCTTCTCTGCACGATAGGGTCACCATGTGTCCTATGCAGATCAGCGCAATGACCCCCAGAGCTGTGGTGGACACCTGTGCTGGATCGACCCCCGAGCACCCAGCGGGGCACACTGAAGCAGCCTCCAGACAGCCTCCTGAGGCTGAGGATCCTCTTTCCTCTCCCTTCCCCGCCAGTCCCCCCAGGACTACACTCCAGTCTCCAAACCCGCAGGCGCCACCCTCCAACCCTCCAATTCTGTCCGACATTCACAAGTCACTGGGTAGTGCAGTGAAGCACCCAACCCAAAAGACTGGTCATG